GCATTGGAAGCAATCTTTGTGTTACAGTCAAGAATGTCTCCTATCATTCAGAGCAGAGGGTTCAGTTTTCCAAGCCCACGTTAGGGAGAGTTAATTCCCGTCGATTGCTTCCTTGCTGGGGGGTTTTGTATGTTGCTGTGACTTCGCCATGTAGGAGCACAAAAATAGGCTGATCATTGGCAGAGAATGCTGCCATTAGGCTGACACTGGTGTAGATGTACACCGTTGTTTACACACATTATTGATCCCTACTGTGTATTTCTACCAATACTTGAATCAAATCGCTGAGGAAAACCAGGTAAAACTCTATATTGGACATGCAGTCATAGTTGGAGTACTATGTAACAAACAATCACACCAAAATATCCAGCACAGGAACCCATCTATAGGGATAAACTATCAATAAGTGAGTAATTCCTCACTGTGACAATTCTTCTTACTATGCATGTTATGCCAGTCACTAAGCCACGGAGTTTGGCTTCACTGTCCACCTCCGAAGTTGCAGAAATTTCAGGAGATACGTTTGGAGGCTACATTTGGGCAAGATTCTGAATTGCCTTGATATAATGTCTTCATTTAATGAGCACATCTGAGAGCCTGACAATCATCTCAAGTGCATAACATTCCAAATTATTCACAAAAAAGGTAAAAAGAGAATAACTGTATCTAGCATCAAAGTAGGTTAGCCAAGATATTAAAAGTGGGATACATTTATGTTAAAAGCACACAGTGGATTATGTTTGGATCACTTAGACTGTAATTCGCTCCCTGCGGACGGTGATTTAAATTCACCCGGTTTATATGAAAGTGTTGGCGGGCTAGTGCTAACTACTCCTGTCGTAGCTGAATTTAACAACTCCCCATCTGCCGTCGTGGAGCAGCCCCCCTCTGCACTGTCACTGAAGAACACAAACACGTTTTGTAGTCTAATGGACTGCTGGCATTGTTTTTAAAGCAAGACTGGCCAATTCTCAGCAGATGACGTCTAATCATTTAGCTGCATCACCATAATGGGTGAAACAAAACAGTGATGGGACAGAAGTCAATAGCATGATAGCTATTTACAAATACTGCATAAGGACAATTCACATGATTATATTTTATGACTCCTGCAGCTTAGATAAGAAGAATATTCTGAGCTATTAGTTAACTTCTCCCCAAACGAGCTTGATGGGCCGAATGGCCCTCTCTCATTTGTAAATTTCTTATGTAATATATATAGAGTGACATACAGTATGCCTAAAGTTACTATCACCTAAATACTGGGATTAATTTGCATATATAAATAAATATTTTAAAATATAAAACACAGGGAAAGTAGATCATGTTTAGGCAAAAATGCATTTAAAGTTTTGAGGTAACCTGCTGCTGTAAAATATCATGTGAACGTAACCAATCAAGGCCAAATAATTCCCTTTGTATCTCTTTTAGTACGCGGTGCAGCATTACAAGGCATCGACCACCCGGGCAGTGTCCTCGCGCACAGAAAAACTTGCTTATATACTTCTATGTTTCACATATATTTACATACATCTCCAAACATTAAGCTGCTGCTTGCAGACATCGCAGTGATCTTTCCAAATTTGGAAAAAAAATGAGAAGCTACGAGAGAACCGAGCGGCAGCTGCTGCACCTCCTCATGTCAGTGAATAAATTCCCACAATGCACGTGGGCTTAAAGAAAATGAAACTCCCAGGAACCCAAAGAGGTTTGCATTCAGCACCTGCCTTGCGTATAGTGAACGTTTCACCCTGTTTGAAACTGATACGGATTATGGGCTAATAAGGTACAGCACCAAAGACAATAGAGAGGTTTTCGAGATTAACTCCCCATCTCATGCCTTCCTTTGTTTTATGACCGAAGGTTTTAAAAATAGAACGATAAAAGAAGAATTTTAAGCCTTATGCTCTGACAGTCAGCACAGATTCCTTGGTTATGCATGGCAGCTAACTAAAAACAAAGAAAAAGAAAGTCAAAATTGATTAATAATGCAACATTTTGCATCAGTGGGGGTTTTATTCAGCCGAAAACTGCCCTCCCAAACCACAGAAGCCATTCAAAGGTGCTAACAGCAGAAACATCTTCACCGCATAGTTTTTACCAACAAAGCAACACTTGCAACAAAATTTAAAGCAACACGCCATGTTCTCCTACAACTTATAATAGTCGTTTAGGTATAATATATGGGGAAAATATGCAAAGAGACATCTGATTTGCACAGCAAATAGAACCACAAGACCTGGAGATCCGAGATAAATAAATTAACAAAAATTCTATTTTCAGTGTTGGTCTTGAAGAAGGTACAGGTGGATTAATACCACACAAAGGTGAAAAATGTGCTGGCCTCTTTGATGGGGAGAAAGAGAGAATAACAAGGGGAGGAAAAGAGAAAAACAGAGAGAGCAGGGCAATGCCCGGGGGGCAGGAAATGACAGGTCTGGGGAATGGTGTAAATGGAATCTGGGTTAAGGGAATGAAGCAAAACGGTATGGTAGAGGTTTATACATATGGCGAGAACAACAGGAATCACCCTGGTCACCTGACTCTCCAGTCTAAGATAACCTGGGACTGACCCCCTCCTCGCAGGCCAGGCATGCCCATGTTAAGTGTACAAAAATACAGGGTACGAAAACCTCACTGCAAAACTTCTGGCTGTAATATGAGGAAAAGCCAGACAGACCCTGCCAGACTGGATGAGAGAGAGTGAGAGAGAGAGAGAGAGAGAGAGAGAGAGAGAGATGGCTCTAAATGTAAACCAAGCAAAGGGAGCAAACGGTCATGAAATGACAGAATCTCTGTCACCCGTGTTTAATCGAAAAGTGGGGTGTAAATATGATTTTAGCGTCCAAATCCCAGTGTGAACCGGCACCCACCAGCAAAACTCTTTTTGACAAATGGAAGAAACACACAGGTACCATTCAAAACACTCCATCACAGTCACAAGCAAACATGCTTCAAAAGATTAACCATTTGTGAATCAAAACTTAACACTCTTCTCGGACCATTACTGTACGCTTAGGATAAAGGAGAATAACTGTATGAAATAATCTTCAGCGTTGGTAGTATTGATCTCCTGTTATCCAGCTTGGCGTTCCTTTAAACCCTCAGAAGTAACCATCATTTCCCTATTACTTCCAGCAGCACAGAGTATTATTTGCAAGCAGAAGAGTATTGAAATTTGTGACTCTCCCTTACACTGGTTATCGCCTCTGCTGACCGGAAGCCCCTCGTAACCAGGCCATACTCCTGCCGTTTCACCAAGGCACCCTGAACTACCGACTGCATGAATTTACCCCTGCCAGACAAAATGTTAGGCAACCAATCAGAAACAGCCATCTGCTGGAGCAGAAGGTACTTCCTCAACTATGGAAGATGATAATTCAGGAAGAAAAAAGTTATTCTGACAGAGGCTATGCACGTCAGATCTTACTGGGGGACATGATGTAGATGGGACAGAGGACTTTAGGAAACATTTATGTTGTAAAACAATTAATAATAGTTCCCAACTAATCCTAACCTAACCTTTTTCAGTGATACACTGTGATTGCTGTACTTCCCAGTTAAGAATTCCACTTCGGCAAAATAAATATTCAGTACAGCTGTAGAGACTTCATTGGCAGATCAGGACATAAATGCCACAAGTGAAAAAAGGTAAATATTTACGTTGAAGATTGAGCCTAGTCGTTATTTTCTTTAGAAAAGGCCGTGCAGACTCAAGGTCTTGGGTGCATTGATAACTTAATAGACGTCTGGAGTGGCTAAGAAATCCCCCGTTTAAAGGGAAACGTATTATTGTATTTTTCATAGAAACGTGACTGTGATCACACACTAAGTCATACTTCGAAGGCCGTGCTTTAATAACTGTAAAAGTAAAGGCTGTTCCCAATGAACACACCACCGCATCCATAGCGCAAATTTCCTCAACCGCAGGACGTTGCAAATCTGGCATAGGCTATATTGCATGTGAAGTTAAGGCACCACCTGGTAATGTCCTCAAGTTAGGAGTGTGAGCAGTCTGCAGCAACAGCAGCGGCGTCTTTATACATTGTTTTGAAACGCATATAACTAGTTACGGGGTCCCCCGAGAGCTACTTCTTGAAGTTGTTTTGCTGCAGCACATTTCTTGTAAGGGGAGGTCCTAGACATCCACACCGTAGCCCCCGATCGGCACGTCGCCCCCCTCCCCATCCATCCGACCACCATTTCTCCAAATGCGGTATTTTGTAGGTTGCCGTTTTCTCTATGCAAACTTGCGGTGTAACTTGTAGCGGGGTGGGCAGCTAAAACCAGCGGAATGACTTGTCAGTCGTGTCAGTGCAGTAAAGAAAAAAAAACCTGTGATGTACTACACTGCAGTGCCGACGGAGCGGGGCTCAGCTTTTACCCCCGTGATTGCTGGCAAACACGTTAACTTAAGCTTCTCGAAACCAGAATTAAATCAATTATCTAAAACCCGATACATCCCCATCCGCAACAGCGACCCGTTCAGAAGAAACGTTGAAAATCGTGGAGGTGAATCATGCTGTAAAAGATTATAAATCTTCAGTTTGTACGCATCCGACGAGTCCGGCTTTGATTGCAGATGTAAGATGTAAATTGAAGACACAAGGACGCCGTAGTTCTGTGCACTGCGATCTATACAAATTCAAATTAAATTAAGATGCTTACAAAGTGAATTTAAAGGTATCTGAAAGATTTGCGCACAGATTTTGGGATGTTTGAATGAAGCTAATTAGAAAAACGCATTAAAACTTGCCATGTATTTGCAAGAATCCTCAATTAATATGGGCAAAAAAACATAAATGTATGTGTTTAAAACGAGAATTGACGAAAATGATGGGTGTTGCGGGGAAACGGTGCTGCAGCAACGCGGGGTTAAAACCTGTTTAGTGAGAACGACACAACACGGTGCAATAAGAAGCTCAGCTGCACAACATGTTAATTACGATAAAAAGTGATATTCTAATGCCGAGGTTCCTCAAACTTTTCTGATAAGTCTCAGTACTTCTATCACCCCGCTTGTAGTGCTGCGGGGCTTTTTTCCAGTCGGCTTCAGGCTTGCAAGCTGCCCGACTCGCCACGTCGGTTCAACAGGGTAACTTGTTCGCCGTCCCCCTGAATTCACTTGCTGCACAAATTTTATCGCAGATCTCAAACCCATCACTATAAACAATCCACACGAGTGCAGACTCACATACAAATCAACGCACAATGGCTTACCACTTGGGTTCTTGTTTTTCTTGAGACTCTTGCCACAAAGACACTGCAGCATATGCGTTCCTTTGCTGAAAATTCTCCACAGAAACCACATTGATTTGGACGAAGAGCAATCCAGTAGCTTAGGCACCGTGATAAAGAAGAGATCCTTGCGGTTGCATAATAATAATACAATTGAATCAGTTCTCCAGGACAGGGCTACCAATTGAACCATAGAAAAAATAGCTAATATCCCAGTCTTCGGCGTTTTCGTTCACGTGGTAAAATATTTCGTGAGACTTCTGAATTAAGGTTATTCTGCCACCTATGTATAAATAATGACACCACCCGGGTTGTCAGCATTAAAAAATATACTATATAAATTGTCCGTATAGCACAAGAGGAAGCATTAGGCAGCAGGCGAACAGAACTAATGTAAGAACGAGAGAACACGGCGCATTTCCGAAGAAAGGAACATTGCCTGTTAGTTCACCACTCTGAAGAAGGGTGGATCTGCAAACCATCAAAAGCCAAGAGAGGATGTATAGCAGGCAAAGACTGTAACGGTGGCCCTAACAAAACAAAACACGGGCTACCCGAACCTACTGTGGTCACATTAAACCTCACAGCCGAGCTCAATTTCCAAATAAACTCTCTTCATTGTTAAGCAACACTCGCTAGTTCAGTGCTTATTATCCCCCTTTGAACGTGTATGGATTTATCCTGCGTTATCCATCCGGTTGGCTTTATGTCTGTATTTTAAAAAAAGGATGCAGGGCGGACATCGCTGCCTCTTTCTAAAGTGTGGTGCCTTCGCGAAGAGGGGGGGGGTTTGCATGGATTTGGCTTCGCATTGAATGTGATAGAAAGTGGATGGAGAGGAGGAGGGGTTGCACTGAAAGATTGACTGTCTATTACGTAAATACGCGGTCTCAGCACCGTCACACGCCGCTTTATCCCCCCTGCATTCCAGGAAAGAAATGCTAAGTCTTCAGCCACAGATTGAATGAATGAATGAATGAATGAATGTGGGGAACTGGCAAGACGCGTGCTCTTCTTCCTCTGCGATTATGCACCGTGCTTGCTAAAGGCAACAGCGAACTAGTCATCTACTAAGGTAAAATAATAATAATAAAAAATAAGCTATCGCAAAAATAATCAAGCTCAGCCACTCGATTATTTTTTTTATACTTTACTTAGTAAATATTCTGTCAATGCAGCATTATTCGATCAATGCATTTGTAAACTGGCCCATTACTCACCTGTCATGCATGCATGCGCCTGTTTCGCCAGTGAATTGGCTTTTAATGTCTTTGTATATAAATAAGCTGAATATTAAAAACTGTAAACTGGGACTTAGCATACAGGTGTCGATTAATTCAAGTTGAGGACGTTTCAGCATCATCTGTTATACTCCGTGGCCTTTGGGTTTTTTTAATGATGGCTTTCTAAAACGACCACCTGAATGCTGAAGACTGACTCGGTACGTACAGTATGAACAAGCGACGACAAAGTATCGTTCTCCACTAGGTAAGCTAACTACCATGTCTTCTGTTTAAGGTCGTTTTCATCCAGGAATTGATCGTTGTGATATTCGAAGTGGGAGGTTTTTGATATTAATTTCACACGCAGCATTACTAACACACTAACCGGTGTTGTCATCTGCGGTCATAAATAATAATAACCGTCATCATAAAACATAAAACATCTGTCCTGACCTTGATGGGAGTGTTCTGTTATGTTGGGTTGAGTGGCTGCATTCCGCTGTTTAGAGTGAAGCCGCAAACTGTAAGCCACTGAAGTGAAAAGGGGAAGTAGCATTGAAAACTGTACCTTGCGGGTAAGAAGAAAGTTTGTTTGCTTGGCATATAATGAAAAACATTTATTTTTTCCAGAAACACATACAGAGTTACAATATGTCCCGTCAGGGGTGTGTGTGTGAGGGTGTGTAAGGGGGTTGAGCACCTGCTCCGTTTGGCCAGACGATTGAAAGTGCTTCTCTTTTGAGATCCCGAGTGGACGCTTAGATCACCTACTTAGCAAACCGCAACCCGATCGATTTTTTAAAAAATGGTCCCCCCCCCCTCCCCCGGGCGGGTTAGAACGGCGGTGCAGTGGTTAGCACTGTTGCCTCACACTTCTGGGATCAGGGTTCAAGTTTCCACCCATGGCTCCACATGTGCAGAGTTTGCATGTTGTCATGGGGATTCCTCCAGAAACTACAGTCACAC